CCCCTTTAAAAAGAAAAGCACCATTGTAATCCTGCTCGGGCCGGGGGGAGCAAATGCCATCATAATTAACATTACACAAACCAAAACAATCATATATTTACTTACCGCTTGGCTTGGCCAAACATTCTGTATTTCATATCGAGAAAAAAACTTGAATATCTTCTAAACTCTAAGAAATTTGTTCAGAGTCAATGTGAATAAAATACGTCTTGTATTCAAGCGCTTTCATGTACAAAGTTTCGTTTGAATACGGCACAGAGTAGAAATATTTATTTTGAATTTTTCAAAATATCGGCGTTTTATTCGCACGCACGCGCCACGTTGATGCTTGGCCATATTTTATAGCCCGATCGATGCACGTGCAAGACCTTGCCGCTGGGAGTACTTTGACCTATAGAACCTATAGAATATACGACTACAATAAATGCCGTCTCATTAGTATTCTTAATGTAAAGAATACTAATTAGGATGGACTTTTATATAAAGAATACTAACGAAGATGAGTTTTATCAGGTATAAAGCCTCTTCACGTGACATATTATGGTTGACATGATTTGCCAATAAGCTTATGAATTATTACACTGGTCGATAGTGCCAGTGTTATAAAATGGGCAGTTGTGTCTTTGTAGTGTTTTTGTTTTTCATAAACGCAAACTCGACAAACCACCGAGGCACCGCAGGCTCAATTTTCAACAGTGGCGGCCATTTGTGGAGTGGGCAAAATGTTTCAAACAATTACGATAAAATTCTCAACGAATTGTACCTGTTTTATATGGATTTTGCATTGTATCGAACTCTGGACTTTCTTGCTAGTTTAATTAATGCCCAGCCTAGTCCCAGGCTCTCTCTCTCTCTGTACGCTGCTTCGATATATTTATTGAATAAGTTTTATGCCTGTGTGTGCTGTGCTGAAGTACCTTCAGCTGTGACATCACACCTAGCCCTAGGTCCCAGTCTCATACTTTATCCGTGGTTTTTTTCGCGCTTGCTTCAGAACGACTGGGACTAGGCTGATTAAAGTCTTTTTTTTGTGCACAACTCTAAAATCGTGAACCATAATATATCGAAACATTCATAGGAAGGTCGTTCTGGTTATCCACTGAACTTTTGTGCTTTTCACAATCGGCATTTTCATAATCATGGCGGGGGAAGGTACATACCATTTTTCACTAACTTTCGCATTTAATGTACCGTAATTTTTCAGTAATTTTCGTACATTTATCAAAATTTGTGCTATAATTATTACTTTTCAATCCGAAGCACTCGAATATTTGCCAATAAACCGTTATTTTGGAAACCAAATGTTTTCAGGGGGTGTCACACCCCACGGCCCTGTTTGGCAATATGATTGGTCAGCTTTAGTGGCCTCTGTGATCATGACGCATCGCCTGTTTAACTTTAATATGAAAACTCAATGATGCCTTATAATAATGTTGTTAAACAAACTCAAACTTAATGGAGATAAGATATTAAAATATTAAACTTCGGTCTTGCCGTATTGACCTCGTTATCGCTTGGTCAATACGGCAAGACCTCGATTTAATATTTTCCCATAAAGAACTCGTTCTCGGTTATTAAGTATAGTTATTAATTCAATTTATTTAAAATTTATCTGCTGTAGGTATCTTCAACTGAAATAATGCGTTCTTAATTATAGTCCGTTTCACTGTATTGTAATGTTCTAAAGTTAATATTTGAATAGTTCAGCATCATTTTTTTAATCGTATTTTGGAATTCGGTCGCCAACCTCCAATAAACTTCATTAATTTTGTAACATGGAATGGAATTAAATTCAATGATTCCAAACTCTCTTTGTCCATGCTGGCCAACATAGCACCGTCTATCAACTCTGCTTCAAATGTTTCAACATAATTTCGCATTCCTAAGTAATTCAATAACGCGCTCACATCAGTAATGCTCAAACTTGATAAATCTGTTGGATATTTGGAAATTGCTTCGTAAATTTCTTCTTTTTGTTCGGGTGTGGGTACCGGCATTTTGTTGGTAGGGAGTGAAGGGGGTTGGCCTGGAGTGAACGGGGTTGGCTGGGTACTTGAAGGGGTTTGGCTGGTTGGCTGAATGGGGGTTGGCTGAATGGGGCTTGGTTGGATACTTGAAGGGGGTTGGCTGGTTGGCTGAATGAGGTAGGCCTGGAGTGAAGGGGGTTGGCTGATTGGTAATGCAGTGTTGCTGTTGGTTACCATAGGCGTGGGAGACTGGCTGTCAGTTGATGCAGTCCTTCTCTTGTGTATTACGGACAAGTCAGTCTTGCTGTGGGGCCTTTTTAATCTGCTAGGCAACTGAGGCGGGTTGTTGGGAACATTAGGAAGAACCCTGTTAGGGAATGCAACTGCGTTGTTGGGCAAGTGCGGGTTGGTGAGTATGGCAGATCTGTTGCGACTTAAAGGCAGCCTATCAGGTACAGGAGGAGGCCGACGATTGCAGAGAAGGGAATTGCTTCCCGATTCTACAGGTTGGTTACTATCTGAGGTTGCAGACAACTGACTGCCTAAGTGTGAAGGTGGATTCGATTTTGCAGGTTGTTTATTTCCTGTGGTTGTTTGTGATTTACAACCCAAAATTGCAGGAGGGTGTTCGACAGGAGGTTTTGCATATTCATGACTGAAAGTAGGGATATTTGGTGGGTCAAGCTCAGTGTATGCAGGGTTCATGAAAAATCCGCATTTTGTATACTTCGGTTCAGTGAATCCCATCTCTTCATAAATTTCATTCGGGTCAGTATATGCCTGTTCCATTTCCTCAGTAGTTTGTTGATGTCTCGATTCATATGCCAAACTTGTTATGTTCCCAGCTATTTTGACATCGTGTTTTGAAGTCGAAATTTTGGCCTTTGGCTTTAGGTCTGGGTCAGGTGATCCTGGCTTAGCCCTTAGTCGATCGGGCTTGGGCTTAGTTAGGACTGGTTTAGATGGGATTGCCTTTGCTGGATTTGACTTAGCTTTAGACGAGGCTGACCTTGGTGGAACTACCGGTACCTTAGCTGGCTTTGGCTTGGGTAGGTTTTTTAAAGGTGGAACACCTTTCTTTATCTTTTCTGAACTGGATTTACTTGCCACATTAAGTGCAAGTCCTTTCATAATTTGTGTCGTATCGATATTTTCGGTGGTGTCTGTATAGATATTTTGATTATCATTTCCTTGTTAAAACTGTGAGAATTGTTGACATAATCTGCGCTTTTTCTGAACGTATCGTTACACACAACAACGTTTATATCTACATCGGGAGAGAATTGCACTATTTTTTGTTGGCCATTTTTTATTGTTGTTGCCGTAATAACTGTCTCAGTAGATATTCTATTTAGGCAAATAGTACCTGCGGGTTGATAGAGGGGTTTATCTTTCGATCGGGTTTCTTGATCCATGGTGTAAGGTTCAACGAATCGCACGTAAAGCGGCAGTGAGAATTTTTTAAGAACCTCGGCTAGGTAATACTCTTTTCCATCAGCCGTAGGTTGGAAGCCACCAGCCACACAATCTTTAGGCAGTTCAATAGTATGACCGTTTTGATTGATACAGACCAACTTTTTTCCACCTTTCTTGGTTTTATTAATACTTTTCAAGTGCAATATATCACCAACATTAAGGATCTGCTCGTCTTTGGATGCATCATAATAACCTTAGAGTATCAGTATAAGAATAATTTCGTTATAATATCAATATAAAAGCGATCATGTTACATTACATTAAAAATAGGTACGCACTGCGTACATTTTGCAAGCCATCAGTCGGTCCCTGCAGGTGCATGAGGTTAACTAACTTGTTAAAAGTGTTGGTGTTTGTTGCTTAGTGATTTCCATGCTCGTTTCACCTCTGTGACTGACGTTTGCTGCTGCAACATGCAGGGCACGACTTTGTTTATCATTATTTTGCTCCACATGCACATGAGCTCCCAGTTTGTCTCTACAAGAAACTGATTAGGTTTTATTTGGTCCATGGTACTTCTCTGAAATAGGGGATTATAGCGCAGGGTTTACTGTGCCTCAACTAGGAAAAGGTATATAAATAAGATATGCTGTATATAAAAGGAAAAGGATTATAGATATGCTGTAACAAAATCATAAGACAAAATCTATACGGTATGTCCTGGCCCACTCCTGGGAAGGGATATTAATAATTGAACGGTACATCAGCTTATTTTTTGTGCAGCTACAGTAAACTTGTTTCAGCTACTGATCAAAATAACTTGTCCTAATTTGCCATTTCCCAAAGTCCTGGGTCTAGTCGCGCAAATCCCATGTTGGAGGGACAAGAAATATAGCAGCACATTTTAAATTAAGAGTTTAATGTGAAAAGGAGATATTTCATATTTGGTCGTCTAAAAGGTTGATATTTGATAGTAGATACTTCTACTCTTTCACATATTTGACGCCTGTCACTATATATTTTGTCCCTCCAAACGATCCCAGAATGCACTGTGATCTCTTTTGGGAAAACGCTACTTAAGCCGCCACTAATCAGAAAAAATATTTTACAAGCTTTGTTGACAATTAATGCCTTTAGATGTTGTTGATTTTTAATGAAATAATCTAAGGCTATATTAGGAAACTGTTGCATTCAAGCATCTTGTTTTGCAAGAAATCTGTCTGCCTTGCCATACATATATTCATAAAAATGAACATTCCTCACGATTTGAGGTATCAAACACATCCAAAAAGAGCAAAAATTAAAACACGCGAAGTTCTGATTCCCTGTCGAAGCCATTTTGGAATCCTTCGGAATGCAGTCATAAGTGTCACGGACTCGACAGGACAGATTTGAGTTAGATGATAGCCATTTCATGGCTTGCTACAAAAATTAACATTTCTCACGATTTGTGGTGTCACATTGCCTCAAGCATCTTGTTTTGGAAGAAATCTGTTTACCTTGCCATACATATATTCATAAAAATGGACATTCCTCACGATTTGAGGTGTCAAATTGTCTCAAAAATCGAGACCAAAAAGAGCAAAAATTAAAACACGCGAAGTTCTCACTTCTCACGCTATTTTCAAAACAAACAATCGCCATATGGTCGGAATCATTTGAAATATGCAGTCGTGTCACGTGAAAACTACTGACAGGATAAGGACAGGACAGATTTGAATTATATGATAGTTGCAGGCCATTTAAAGACCATGTAAAGTCCGTTCTGCGCATACGTTCTGCGCAGGCTTACATTCCAATGGTCGGGACCCGACCGTTGGAATGTTATTAATATTTCGTATCTTTTGAACTTTCTTGAATTGAATCTCTAGTCAGTATTCATTTACAAGCATAGCGAACCAGAAGAGTGTTAAAAATTCAGTATAATATATATCTAATCATATTTTACAACTGTAGCACTGAGTTCAAAATGTAAACAAAGCGTTTGTTTACATTAGTCATGGTCTTTAAATGGCTTGGGTGAATAAAAAATGTAAATCACATCACGGAATATATTGGTAAGGAAATTCAAAAAATATATACGGAAAATGAAACAAGTATGCATGGAATACACCATGCAGCTAAAATCACTTGTATTTTTTTTTGTTATATTTTGTATTTCTTGTATATAGTTAATTTCTTGTAAATAGGTAATTTCACGCCTTTCATGGAAACCAGTCTTCCAACGGCTGTTGAGGCTAGCGTGGTTTAAATAACGTTTTGTATCCTCTCGCACCCTTCCCCCTCTCCTGCACCCCTGGAGCAATTCCATCCCTGTTATTAACTTATTAGCGTAGATGCCAAGGTTGTGTTTTGTCCATGCGTGAGATGAACACACCGCAGCTACCGTAGGGGGGTCCGGTGCATGTCCCCCCCGGAAAAATTTTGAAATTTGGGTCTCGGAAACGGCATTTCCAGCGTTCTGAGAACATATTTGGGTGTTATTTTTGGTTCTCAAAAACAATATTTCAGAGGTACATTTTGTGTTAAGAATAAGGCACAATGTTTAACAAGTATTAGTAATAATGCATGTGAAAACATGTGCAAATGCAATATTAGTCAAAACAAAAACTACAATTCCAAGAGTAAAATTTTAAAAGATCATTTATATATATTTAGGAATATTATATTGTAGTTAAAAGTCAATAATTGGAGTTTACATTTAAGTTTATAGTTGTATACTTATACGCATATATCTCAATATGTTTATGCGTCTTTAGATTTTACATCGGTTATAATAACTGCTTTATAAATAATTTAGGGACGGACCATTTGATTTTTGATGGGTGGGTGGGTAGATTTTCAGTTTGCTCGATATTTTTTTCCGCCTCCTGACACTGTTCGATTTTTTTTTGTCAGTCAGAGGACTTGCACGATATTTTTTTGTATGCATGTATATACAGTTTTTTGTTTTTACATTTTTTGGTATATAATAGGTAATTGGACAAGTACTGGTGTTATACATTGTGTAGCCTAAATAATGAGAGGACCAGTATTCTAAAAATGGTTGTTCTTCATTTCTTTACTCCGACTCCTATGATGAACATTTACGTAAAAAACTAGGGAAACTACGATTATATATAGAAACTAAAGTAGGTGAAATTTTTATGGGACTCCATTAAAAGTGAGGATATAAGAGTGAGAGATTGAAATTGAGTAGGAAAGGCATCCCTACACACGTTTCGACCTAACAGTCTTCTTCAGCAGGGTTTTTTAAAGGGGGGGTATATAGAATTTGCAGAGGAGAAGGAGAGTTGAGGAGTTCGGGAAATAATGTGAACTTGGATCCTCTACGTAGCAAAATCCACACCAGAACTAGCTATAGCTATCTATTGGTCATATCGTATCATTACTAATCTCTGTTTTGGTTTTGTTATATATGTACATGTTCGTTATTATTGTATATTCATATATTTTAAACAAAAATCAAACCCCGTGCAGGGTATCACTAATTGCCAAACGCCCCCTATCCCTGTCTTATAAGCTCCTACACCACTAACACCATATTTGGATGCAATCACCTACAGTTACATGATCACCCTTACCATCACAATCATTCAAACTCACTATACCATTGAGTAAGTTAACCCTTAATTGAAGGACCTGCAAATTTGCTTCACTTCAGCAATACGAACGATGAACAATAAAGTGCGTAGTGTTGGAATGTCTCGCAAACAACAAGACCTTCGGTATAGGATAACTTGACTATAATAACATGTATAGTAGTTACATCCATACACTGTGTAATTGATTATTTTCAGTTATTTCATAATAATTTGTTTTCCTCTTGGTCTCACATAAACCAAACTCCTATAAACTCTCCTTTCTTCTCCTCTTCAAATTATATCTACCCCCCCCCCCCTCTCCTCTTAAAAAACCCTGCTGAAGAAACTGTTAGGTCGAACCGCATGCCCCTGTATGCTATTCCTACTCAATTTCAACCTCTCGCTCTTATATCCTCGCCTTTGATCGTGTCCCATAAAAATTTCACCTATTTTAGTTTCTACGGCCGTGATTTAATCGTAGTTTTCCTAGTTTTTTACGTACATGTTCATCATAGGAGTCGGAGTAAAGAAATAAAGAACAACCATTTTTGGAATTATACTGGTCCTCCCATCAATTTAGGCTACAGGGCCGTAGGAAGCTCTTTTTTATTGCGGGGCTGAAAGCGAGGGCCGAAGGCCCGAGGAAATTTTTAAATTTAGAGTCTCTGAAATGCCATTTCCTGGACCCTTCAGCCCCCCCGGTTGCTACATACGGCCCTGCACTACACGCGGAAATGCACCGAATGGCAAATAAGGATTACCACTCGAAAGTCTTGCTCGATATTTTTTTTCGTCCGTTTATTCTTGCACGATATTTTTTTTAAGTTCAAATTGCTTGCCCGATATTTTTTTTGGGATTCTACCCACCCCCCCATCAAAAATCAAATGGTCCGTCCCTTACTGTATAGCTTGGCTCAAGTTGTTTTGATGTTAAGTTCAGTGTTTGCTGTTTTATACGATTGGTATTTAATAGCTTAATCGCAACGGAACGTTAATTTTCCTGTAAAGAAAACAAACGCCACATGAATAATATGAAAGCTATGCAAAAAGTGTGAGAACTACACGGCTAGAATTACTCACATTGAGCGGGGCGTATTAAAAACAACATACATCTCCTCTAGATTAACATTCAACATCGCGATTAACATTCAACATCGCTTGATTATATCTTCATGACGCTCAAGCAAATAATCGACATGATGAGATAACATCATATTCACCCGAGTACACAACACCAACACAGAAAAATTCATGATTACTAAATTGCATTGATATCGAAGGAACTAGACTCAGTTCCGAATTATCACATACTCGAGCCGACCTGACCGCGTAGCTCAGTTGGCAGAGCATTGGGCTAGTATTCCAAAGGTCGTAGGTTCGATTCTCACCGTGGCCAGGCATATTTTTCAAGCTTCCCCGGTGTGGATATACACTCAAATTTATACACAAGCATCATATTCACGATTCACCTGAGTACACAACACCAACACAGAAAAATTCATGATTACTAGATTGCATTGATATCGAAGGAACTAGACTCGGTTCCGAAATATCACATATTCACATACTCGAACCGACCTGACCGTGTAGCTCAGTTGGCAGAGCATTGGGCTCATAGGATTGGGCTAGTATTCCAAAGGTCGTAGGTTCGATTCCCACCGTGGTCAGGCATATTTTTCAAGCTTGCCCGGTATCGATATACACTCAGATTCATACACAAGCATCATATTCACCTGAGTACACAACACCAACACAGAAAAATTCATGATTACTAGATTGCATTGATATCGAAGGAACTAGACTCAGTTCCGAAATATCACATACTCGAACCGACTTGACCTTTGTCTCAGTTGGTATAGAGCATTGGACTAGCATCCCAAAAACTCCCAAAGGTCGGGGTTCGATTCCCACTGTGGTCAGGCAAACTTTTCAGCTTGCCCGGTGTGGATGCACACTTAGAGTAACATCACAAACATCATACTCACCTGAGTACATAACACCAACACACATGAAAAGTATAATATCACAATTGTTGTAAAGATAAAAGAGTCTAGCGGGCTAAGTATGTAATTAGGGTAAGGCAATTGCTAGATAGTATACTTCAAAATAAGGTTTCCGTTTGTATATCATTTTTTTAAATAAGTTAGGGTTAGGTTAGGGTGAGGTTAGGGTTGTGGTTAGGGTTAGTATTAGGGTTTAGTTTTGCGTTAGGATGGTTTTTCTGACGGAAACCTTATTTTGAAGTATACTTTCTAGCAATCACCAAATGGGGCTATTCCATTTAATATCCGTAACCGCCCTATCGAAGACCTTGGAATTCTTCAGGGGTAAGATCATTTTTAACCCTGGAATTCCTCGTGCAGAATTCGTACCCTCGCTCCGGGTTTACGGGTAAACAGATTCTCCTGTGGAATTCTTCAGGGGTTGGTTATTTTGACTGATATTTCCTCAGGGGTCAGATGTAAAAATTGAAATTCTTCAGGGGGAAATGCTGATTTCTTCAGGGGTAAATGCTATTGACAGGTATTCTTCAGGGGAACTCTTTTATGTCAGGAATTTTTCAGGGGTATGGTAAAACCTTTGTCCACGACAGGGGGGTTACGTAATTTAAATGGAATAGCCCAATGACTCTTCCAACGTAGCTGTACAGACTCCGTGATCAGACATGGGTCATATAAAGGTGGTCCTTCGTAATTTAGCGTAGCTGTTTATTTCCGAGTGCTATACTGTATGGCAGTATTAATTTTGTGATTTTCTTTCCAGTTATTTATTGAATCCATTCACCGTTGCATCGTGCGTCGCTCAGTCCACGGCCGTTATCACGAATCTTTCCGTAACAGTCGCTTTGTATTTCGCGCTTTTAGGTAAGTTACGTAATATTTTACTAATCCGACTACGAGGACTGGACTAAACTAGTCCAGTCCGAATGGACCTTTCCCCTTTTGAGTGAAATTTTTATCTAGACAAGTCTGGACAAAATTTCATCACAGCTTGAAAGAGCATCACAAAATTAGTAATATTCCAAAGTTTCGTTGCGAAATGTTGTAAAATGCGGATAATATAGCCTTGCGAAGTTTGCCGTTTTTCAGTCATTTTGATTACAAATGGGAAATTGATAATCAGTTTGATCATCTGATTATCAATTTCCCGCTTGTAATGCAAAATGACTGAAAAACGGCAAACTTCGCAAGGCTATATTATCCGCATGACAACATTTCGCAACGAAACTTCGGAATATTACTAGTTTTGTGATGCTCTTTCAAGCTGTGATGAAATTTTTGTCCAGGCATATCTAGATCAAAATTTCACTCACAAGGGGAAAGACCTATTGGAGGATTTGAAATGACATCTCCTACGAATAAATCACTACTTAAAGTTAGGTGAATTCATTTTTATCCAGTCCAAGACTGAATTAATTTTGATCAAGGGCATCAAGTCCTAGCCCTAAGACTGGATCAATATTCTTCATCAGGTATCCAGTATTATCATGTGAGCAAAATACAGCAATATAATATACTCATGAATTATTAATGCACTTGAGATCATTAGAAAATGTTGTTAGGGGCATATCGCACTAGACTCTCAGAAGTCCCGCTCTTTTTCGACTACCTAAGGCTAAGTATCTTCACACGAGAACCTGCACCGCAAATAAGCTTGATCCAGGAACCTCACGCAACTGAATCTTTTGTACAAAATCGAACCAGCCAAAATAACTCTAAATGATCTTGTTAAAAGATTTTTCATGCCAAGATTCTTCTCAAAATTTTAACACGTTCTTTCTTCTAGGATCCGCGCCATTATCAATGTGTTTTATCGCTGTTGCGGCGTACAAGTCTCTTTATCCAATCATGCTGATTGTACCGATCACACTCATTCTTATTCAAAAGGTAACAAAAACTTGTATTATGAATGGGAAAAAATGTTTATCCGCACGTTTGCTGCATGCTGCTGTAAAGGCCATGATAACTTGGTCAAGCCTTAAAATATCTTTAAGTTGAATGGTTATGCCGAAGACATTCAACGGCATAACCATCCAAGTTAGGCCTATGTAACATATTCAACTTAGATGTTTATGCCGTTGAATATGTTCGGCATAAGCATTCAACTTGGATGTTTATGCCGTTGAATATGTTCAGGCCTACTTTGGGGGTCAAGGTCGCCGTTATTATGTGCAAAATTATGCAACATTGGGCGACATTGGCAATTTCAAAGAAAAGTAGTATGCATCGCTGGGTGAAATTAACCGGGCGATATTAGACAAAATTAGGCGACATTAGGCGAATAGACTGTTAGGCAAAGTTCGAAAACTGATTGGGTGCACTTGGCCAAAATTAGGGGACCTTGGCCCCCAAAGTAGACCTGTCCGTGACCGACCTATTTTTTTAAGGCCTCCAGTGGCGGAAATTCACTTTTTCCGGTGGGGGGGGGGGCAAAGCCTCCTAAATTTCCGACAAAACTCTCAAATTTCCGACATACCCCCCCCCCCCCTTCCATCTGCACTCGAAAAGACTGTTTTTAGCCCTCTTTTAGGTCAAAATTTCCGAAAATTCGTCAATTTTCCGTGAAGGTGGGGGGCGGCCGCCCCACCAAGATTTCCGGCACTGAAGGCCTGAAACTAAAGTTTTAATAGTGAAATAGAACGAATAAAAGTTGGTAGTTCGACGTTTCCGTCAGAATTAAACTTTAGTTACTGAACAAACATTCTGTAATCCTTAAAACAGGGTAACTTGATATGGATTTTGACAATTATGATGTGATTTAACACCTTTTTTCCAACTTCAAAATTTTGTATTTAGGATAGCTATAGCCCAAAACTTAGTACTCCAATGTCAACGCTTCGCTGTGTCATTTCAACACTTGCCTGGTTCTTGTTTTGGATCGGACTCTACCTTGGACTCTCTCGCGCCATTGTTGGATCATGGGCGTTCCTAGACGCAACTTATGGATTTATGTGAGTAGAATTACCATTACACTGCCGTCAAGCTCAGAGTTATGTTTCCTATTGCCAAAATTGACTTTCTTTGGTGTAAAATAGATAATGGGACAAGTACTGGTGTAAGACATTGTGTAACCTAAGTAATTAGAGGACTAGTATTCAAAATTGTTGTTATTTACTCCAATTTCTATGGCAAACTGCACATACGTGATAAACTATATGGCAAAAACGATTATAGGAACTAAAAAGGTGAAATATTTAGTGGGATACAATAAGGACGAGAGATAGAAAATGAGTAGGAAAGTCAACCCTGTACGTGTTTCGACCTAACGAGTCTTCTTCAGCAGGGTTTTTTAAGGAGGGTGTAGGTAGAATTTGAAGAGGAAGGAGAGTTTAATAATAATAATTTAATGCTTATATCGCGCAAATTTACATTCATATATGATCAAATGCGCGTTTAGGAGTTCGGATAATAATGTCAGACCAAGAGAAACAAATTATTACAAAGTTATTGAATATAACCAATTGCACCGTAACAAATCTTTTTTTCCTGGTCGCCCGGTCCGTCCCACGTCGCAATGCGCAAGCACGTGGTTCCAAATCTGTTCGGGATGCTCGCTTTGTCAAATCCGCTTTGTGAATCAAAATTTACACATTGGTCATTTGATGAAATGAAACTGAGTGTACGATTGATGTTTATTTGACAGTCTGAGAGTTCCTGACCTCACACCAAACATGGGTTTGTTCTGGTATCTTTTCCTGGAAATGTTTGATCACTTTCGAGAATTTTTTATCCTGGTGTTTCAACTCAACGCTTTCTTTTATGTCATTCCTCTATCCTCTCTGCTCAGGTAATTCGCACTAAAATTTATTGATGTTCATAATGGCATACATATGTAGAATCTTATAATATATTTGTGAAGTAATATAGTTAAGCCTTGGTGTAGCGAGAGTTTGCATGAGACTTGAGAAGCGAGAGGTTGCATGAGAGTTGATGAGAGTTGAGAAGCGAGAGTTTGCATGAGAGTTGATGATAGTTGAGAAGGGAGAGTTTGCATGAGAGTTGATGAGAATTAAGAAGCAAGAGTTTGCATGAGAGTTGATGAGAGTTTGAGAAGCAAGAGTTTACATGAAAGTTGATGATAGTTGAGAAGCGAGAGTTTGCATGAGAGTTGATGAGAGTTGAGAAGCGAGAGTTTGCATGAGAATTGAGAAACGAGAGTTTGCATGAGAATTGAGAAACGAGAGTTTGCATGAGACTTTTCTCGACTTTCATGCCCTGGTCAAACGAGAACAAGAGTTGCATGACAGAGGATTTACCGTGCGTATACCGATCAAATGAGCGTAACCTCTTATCAAGTTTCATCGAAATGCTCAAAGTTGATTAGATTTGGCGGTCGAACACGAAAAAGAGTTGTACAGTACTTAGCTCTTCTCAACTGTCATCCTCGATTGACTGTTGCTTTAAAAAGAGGCTTTTGCTTCTGTCATTAAATATTAAGTGTACACTTGAATAATGTGTTCTTTTTGTCCCATCTAGAAATGATCCTGTGTTCTTATTTTACACGTTATCGTCAGTTACTGCAATTTTCAAGTCGTATCCAGCTTTTGGTGATTTTTCCATTCCGTTTGCATTGCTAATATCATGGAGTCACCTTTATCCATGTAAGGTCATGTTGTCACAAAATACACGCAAGAAACTTTGCCCACAGTACCTAGATATCCAGTAAGGACATCCCGCATCCCTTGTTCATCCAGTATTACTACAGGAGGAAACCTAAATTAAACTAACTTTATTTATACTGGATAGCTCTATCAGTTCTAAACTGTTCTTCCTAGAGGTCCAGCAAGGATTATCTCTTATTGATCCAGTGTTACTACGGGAGGAAACCTAACCTAAACTAACTTTATTTATACTAGATAGTTCCATCAGTTCTAAACTGTTCTTCCTAGAGGTCCAGTAAGGATCATCTCTTATTGATCCAGTGTTACTACAGGAGGAAACCTAAACTAAACTAACTTACTGGATAGCTCTATCAGTTCTAAACTATTCTCTTAATTCATTTTTTGTAGATATGAAGAATGTGTTCGTCGTTGGTTGTATGTTTCTGTTTTCGTCAGTCCTGATGCCATTATTCTGGTATCTTTGGATTTACGCAGGAAGTGCTAATGCTAATTTCTTCTACGCTGCAACCTTGGCTTATTCCACTGCACAGGTGAGCTTCTGAACTGCTGTCATGTACTAAAGGCCATGTTACACGGTGCAATTTTTCTTGCAACTTGCAATGCAATTCTACTCTTGAGAGATGTAAAATTGCCAAATACGAGTCTTCATTACACTCCGCTGATGTTTTCTGAACATATCGAAAATTCTTCACTGATTTCACTAATTAACATCTCTCAAGGGTAGAATTGCATTGCAAGTTGCAAGAAAAATTGCACCGTGTAACATGGCCTTAAGGGATTCTTTTCTTATATTAATAATACTTTATGAAACGTAGTGGTCCAGTATAGGTAGTATTCTACAATATAAGCTGTCATGGTTTGTGTCTGAACTGCCTGAAAAATATATCTCAAACCAGGTGGTCCAGTGTAGGTAGTACTCTACAATAAACTGTCGTGGTTTGTGTCTGAACTACCTGAAAAAGATATCTCAAACACGGTGGTTCAGTACAGGTGGTATTCTACAATAAGCTGTCGTGGTTTGTGTCTGAACTACCTGAAAAAGATATCTCAAACGTGATGGTCAAGTGTAGGTAGTATTCTATAGTAAGCTGCCGTGGTTTGTGTCTGAACTACCTGAAAAAGATATCTCAAACGTGGTGGTCAAGTGTAGGTAGTATTCTACAGTAAGCTGCCGTGGTTTGTGTCTGAACTACCTGAAAAAGATATCTCAAACGTGGTGGTCAAGTGTAGGTAGTATTCTATAATAAGCTGCCGTGGTTTGTGTCTGAACTACCTGAAAAAGATATCTCAAACGTGATGGTCAAGTGTAGGTAGTATTCTACAGTAAGCTGTCGTGGTTTGTGTCTGAACTACCTGAAAAAGATATCTCAAACGTGGTGGTCCAGTGTAGGTAGTATTCTACAATAAGCTGCCGTGGTTTGTGTCTGAACTACGACCATTCATGGTCATGAAGTTAACAATCAAGTGCTAATTAAAAGCAATTAGCAAACATTCTCTAAAATTATGCATATTATTACTGTTATGCCAAAAATATATACTCATCGTTTGTGTTCTCCTTTAACAGATCTTTCTTCTTGGTGACGTCATATTTTCTTTTCTACGTCGGAATTTCGATCTTGAACATGGAATCTCGCGAAAGCTTGTGGATGGTGAACGTATGACAGTCATTCTGAAATAAAATTTTATGAATTATACATGTGCAGAAAAATGTATGAAGTGGAGACTTTAAGAATTCGGTCTATTATTGCAGGCGTAAGGTTGTTGTTAGGCCGATATAAGGATGTGTTCGCACTGCTTGTTCCCAGTTGTTGTAATTCCATCCGCTGTGGACAGCGAAGTACCGACATGTCGGTATACCGCTATTTTTTGGAATTATTCGTATCGGCATACCGGTATTTGAAAAAAATACCGGTATATTATCCGATATATTGAGTCTCAACCGAATAGACTTGATATAGCGTTTTTTTAACCGAGGGTGTGTCTAAATTAGATGTTTTACCAAGTACATATAGTTCAACAGAGCGGCTTATTTACTGTTTATGTGCTACAAATACTATCTAAATACCACAAATATTTAACATTTAAGACTACACAAAAGCTCAACGCGTCATGAGGTCAATGAGTTGCCTGCTTAGGTGATTATATTTGTGTAACTGAGCGGGAGTCCTCCTTTAAAAGTATTGCTTTATTTAATAACATATAACACCCCCATGTTATTGTAACCATTGTAAACTGCAAACAAATTAATGTTTTAAAGTAATGGCAAATATTAGACTTCTTCAACGATTGTTATTGGCTCTTGCTGTGAATTTCAATTTAAATCAAATTATTACAACATTCTAAATTAACATTTATATTGAAAGTTGTTTTTTTACAGTATCTGTTGCCAGTTAAACAAAAGTGTAATTTATATCGAATTCTGAAGTCACTTTTACACAAAGGACTAGATTTACGAATATTTTTTTGCAAGACACCTTTATGATCTAGACGTCACAGTGGCTAGTTGAGTTAGTTTTTATTTTCCTGTAGTGCACAGCCGTATGTTTAGACCACTTCACTTTGGCGAGAAGAATGCTTGCAGTTTGACGCTACGAAACACCGCAGCTTTTCGCCAGGTTACTCTGGTTTTTTCCCCGCGGTAACACTACAGACCGCTATGGCTGTTCTTTATTCCACCTCCGGGAGAACAGTTTAGAACTGATAGAGTTATCCGGTATAAATAAAGTCAGTTTAGGTTTCCTCCTGTGATAACACTGGGTCAATAAGAGATAATCCTTACTGGGCCTCTAGGTCTAGGAAGAAGAGTTTAGAACTGATAGAACTATCCAGTATAAATAAAGTTAGCTTAGTTTAGGTTTCCTCCTGTCAGTAACACTGGATCAATAAGGGATGATCCTCACAGGATCTCTAGCTAAGAAGAACAGTGTAGAACTGGTAGAACTATCCAGTAAAATTGCTATAAATAAAGTTAGTTCAAAGAAAACACATGCTAACTTGAATGTTTCGAATAAACCTTGCTTGAAATGGGCATCACTGGTGAAAATGAAAGAAAAGAGCGTAAACATCAAAGGTATCGGTGGAAAATCTTCTATATTTAAACTCTAATTCGTTTTCCGCAGTTGTTGTGTACAAAATAAAAGCAGTTAGATAACTCGTTCATGCTGCTTTTACTAGCAGTGTTCTCCGCACTCGCCTAGCGGTGGGTTTCCCTTAGTTTTGCCAACTTAGGGTGTATTGTACCCAAATATATACAATGCATATAAACTTTCTCAGCAGTACATGTTTTGCACAGTATATATAAAGCATTTTAAAAGCTTGAAACAGCAAGTAACTTTGCCAGTTCGTACAGTGTGTGGATTAACGACGCGTAATGTAAATTGTGAAAGCTGTTATCTTCGTGGAATTGTTTTAAGAGGGGTGGAATTCAAGCAGAATTATCCTAGACCTAGATTTCTCGTTACTGGGAAAGTGTTTTCAAACCGAAACACTCACAGCAGTGTAACAATCACTCGGTTCGATCTCGACTACAGCTTTGAGCTACTGTTCCTCATCCATCGAGGAAGCTTATGTACATTCAATTCCTAAACTGTCTTCATTGCTGAACTAACTTTAGACGGTATCAACCGACAACAACTCTTATTGGACCGTTTTGTAGCAACTTGTATCAATCACAGAATTCTAATGAAGGATTCTTAAATCAGGCATATATTCTAAAGTTTTTGCTGACGAATTATCTGGCTACTTCTGTAAGAAATTATAGCAAAGATTTACGAGGTTACAAAGATTCACAGCAAAGACTTACGAGGGACACAGCCTTCAAGAATCAACTATGCTTAACTTTGTAAAACACCTACGCTTATTTTCGAAGCCCAAATTCCGCTTAAGCATTTGCAACCGACTACAAAGCTCGCTTGCCCCTTCGACCGTTTCAAAGAAGAGCAAAGAACTGCCCGATGGGATCGTCCTCGAATTTCTCAACCCAAGTACCCACGATCTTGAAAAAGTTCGCAAACTGCTCATCGATGCGTTTGTCTTGAATCAAGAGCCAGTAATGCATGCATTATGCGAGCGAGCTTATTCCGGTGAACCGATGGAAAAAAAACTGCCTAAAATTGAACGACATTTTGAAAAATTTTTCTCTGACGAGTTTTTAAACGAGAAAATCGAACTGGGAATGAGTGTTGTTGCGATTGACAAGAACGTCTCTGACCGCTATATAGGTTGCACATTTGTGGAGCGATATTGCGGCGAGATATACAACACAGAAGTGCCATCGCTTCGCGATCCGTTTTGGGAACACGGTTTGCGATTCATGAGCGATCTCCAGAGGCGAGCTTGCCCGTTTCTATCGCAGTACGATCCTGAGAAGATTACGTTTATGTCTCATAGTGCAACATGTCCAGAGTACGTTAATTCTGGTATCCAGCTTGCAATAATGGATCTACTATTGTCGCGCGTTGCTGAACATGGCTTCGAGATTGGGTATTGTGTGGTGACGGCAAAATCTATTGTTAAAGTTGTTGAGAACCATTATGGCTTCTTCCCCATAGCTGAAATGATGTATGCTGATTATGAGATTAATGGCGAAAAAATATTCGCTCATCTTGCCGAAAAACATATCGCAGCCAAGGCAATGATCAAGTTTTTGTAAACTGCTTTGAGAATCACTGCTTTACCAAGGATCGATGTTTATAATAATATTATAAAACAAAATTTATGTCACGAATTCTTGTCGACTGAGCAAAACAAATAATTATATAGGGTTTTAAACCGAAGTATTATATGTATTTATAACCAGGATATAACATTTATATTATACATTTCACCATTTTTGGGCACTTTTTGAATGCTTGCAATTTGATGAAAGTTCAAGCTCTAGATTAAAATAATAAATCCGGTTTGACGAGTGTTGCAACTATGTTTTAACTTAAAGTGGCATATTCAGGGGCGTAGGAAGCTTCTAAAAGGGGGGCAGGCTTTGAGGGGCACTTTTCGAAAAAAAAGGGCATCTAAACATTTTTTCCCGGAAATGTTGGCGACGGGAGGGGAGAGGTCATCTCAAAAAATTTTTTCGGACATACCCAAAAAAATTTTCCGGATATACCACATTTTTTCCTACATACGAAAAAATTCTTCCGGACATACGAAAAAATTTTCCGGATATCTGAATATTTTTCTCGGAAATTAAAATATTTTTCCGGAAATAACATAGATTCAAGTTTTTAACAGTGCCCTTTGGGCAAAAAAGGCAATCTTAATGAAACTTTTTCACGCAAAAAAAGGGCACTTTGCTCCCGGAAAAAGGGCACTTGGCAAAACGTGGGGGACCTGCCCCCCCAGTTCCTACGCCCCTGGGCATATTATAAGCGCGGGGCCCCTTGAACCCTACCCCCCCCCCCCAACGACATTTTAAGTACTAGCTGAAACATGAGCAGCCGATCTTTACCTCAGATACACAAACCCGAATCGAAATTATCAAGTAAATGTCTTTTCCTGTGTGTAACTTGAAAGAGATAGCTTTCCACATTGACTGTCTTCGGCATAACCATTCAACTTGGATGGTTATGCCGTTGACTGTCTTTCACATAACCATTAAACGTGGGTGGTTATGTCGTTGACTGTCTTCGGCATAAACATACAACTTGGAAGGTTATGCCGTTGACTGTCTTCAGCATAACCATTCAACTTGGATGGTTATGTCGTTGACTGTCTTCGGCATAACCATTCAACTTGGATGGTTATGCCATTGAATGTCTTCAGCATAACCATTCAACTTAGATGTTTATGCCCTTGAATAAGTTCGTCATAAACATTCAACTTAGATGTTTATGCCTTTAAATATGTTCGGCATAAACATTGAACTTAAATGTTTAACTTAAATACCGGTAATATTAAAAGTATATCCGGGCAACTTTTCAATTCACGAAATACAAAAGGATTTTTTAATCTTTCTGAATTCAGTGTTTAAAATGGGGGGGGTCAAGGGCCGCGAGCTGATAAAATGTCACGGGCCCCGCGAAACGTTAATCCAGCTCTGCATAAGACTTGTGGTGGTCCGCACGAATGGCCGACATCCGTTGGCTTCGTTTACGATGCATAAGCGGATGCACTATCCAGTGTTAGTTCGCAGATCAGAGTTTCATTTAGCTCTATGGATTTCAATTCCCATGAGGATTTAACCCAATCTAAGCGAGAGAGCTTTGACCAATCAGGGAGATTCTTTTGTAAATACCCACCAATCAGAAGCGTGCATTTCAACAAATGCATTCCAGAGAAATTTGCACGTAAAGTAATTCAAATTTAGGGCGGTTCGAAGTTCTCGTCTGCTTGCGTAAAGAAGCTCTTTAAAGATTGAAATATACAAGGATAAAAGCCGCAAAGAAGTTCAAAATCTAAAGTCAAATAGAGGATTATGGTATGTTCTAAGTATTTTCTGTCAAATGTTCATATTTCAGCGAGCACAAGTGTCTAAAACTGCTTCAGTGTTTGTCAGAATTGACGAGCGCTTCCCTTTCGGCGTGCATGCGATCGCCGTTCGACTTTCGCCTTATTCTGGTCTAAAGACACTGAATTAAGCTTTGTTTTTCATCATCGTTAGTTTAAATTAGTAGATAAATGTTTTGATAAAGTATTAGGGGTGTTTCGTAGCTAAATTTGTTTTAAAATTTGTCGTTTTAGTGCGAACAAGAAACATTGAATTCCTCAACCCGTCACGGTTCAATGGCGAAGTCAAGTAAAATGGCTTTCGTTTCCAGACTGAAATTTAAAGCAAAATTAAACCAGAAATATAATGGGACCCGAAGCAAAGACTGAGCTGAGGTATGTAGTTTCTATTTTGACTCTTTGTGTAAGTTTTTGTTCAGTATTTCAGCGAGTAAAAGCGTTTGAAACTGACTTATGAAAATTCATGCATCACCGCAAGTCGCTTTGCCCCGGCGCGTGGTGTTGCATTCGTCTTGTCCTGCTATACAAAGATTAAAGCCTTAAAGGCACTGAATTTAGCCTTACTGTCTGTTGTCTTTAGTTGAAATTAGTAAATAAATGATTGGACAAAGTATTTAGGCCTAAATTTTTTTTAAATTCTTCGTTTTAGTGCAAAGAAGAAAGGTTGAATTCTCGCGTGGGACCATCCATATGTCATGCCGAAAAGTCGCGTTCTTGATTGAATTTAAAAAGCAAGACTCGAATGTTGACAGTCTCAACATCAAGGGAACATTAAGACAAATGACTCGGGTATGTATTTTCCATTTGATATGAAGTGTTTATGGGCCAGCGAGGAACGATATTACTCTATATATATAATAGACGCCCTTCTATAAAAGAAAGCTAAGGATCGATAGGGATTCAAGTAGCTATACCTGAAAATACAAGGAGAAATTCTAGGCTAGCTCGCGTATCGGGAAAATTAGATAAGCTTGTGTACTAGAACTATAATATTAAAGCGCGATCCGACGAGACAAAAAAATAAACCGATCAATTAGATTTAGTCTAACAATTGTCCCCTTTAAAAGTAAAGACTAAAGTCTTAAAGACGGCGGAAATTTTAATAGACGCTTAAGTAAACAAGAAAAGAAAAGGCCGACAAAAGTTTTGAAGTTCAAAATTTTCTACGATATTTTTGGAAAATTTTCTGTCTGTGGAAATTTTTCTTGACGGTGAAAATGCATGGCGGGCTTTATAGGGCGTCCTTTATATAATTTACATGTAGTATATAGACAGTATATATATATTCAATTTAATTTGTTATTAATTAATTTCTAAATTTACTTTTAGATTGAATTGATGAAGATGATAATGTGTGTCGCTGGCAAACCCAATACCCTTCACTGCGCCAGGCAGTCAAGTATTTTTTATCCTACATATTTTTTGTTTTGATTGCCAATGTTATTTTTTTATTTTTCATATATATCATGATTCATGACATAAATCTGGAAGAAGTCGAGAGAGCCCCACTCGACTGCATGCCTTCTGATAATTGATATATAAACTCCATTTACATGCTACCGTTTCACTGTTAAAAATTATATTGAGATTTAAAAGTTGCATGGCTGTTTCTATAAAGGGCAGCTTGCTATATGGCTATATGCATACCTTAGCCCAAAAAATATATTCGGTTATTTTTCAATGAAGAGATATTATTTTCAATGCTGTTTATTCAACTTTATCTGCTTGGCTCCTGAGTATAATTGCTTCGTATGTATAAAAATAGGTACAAACCGCGTACATGAGCGCAGTCCTGATCACGTGATTTAGACCATACATGGGCAGTGGCATTGTAACTTTATTATTTTTCCAAGGTCTCTGCGAGACTTCCAATCATTCAGCATGGGCAAGTAGTACATGTAAAAAGAAGGCGCCTCTTTTTATGTGTACTGTTTGTCCGTTTGGGTGGCTGGACGTGTTAGCAGGTATCTTGGGATATCTAATAAAGTTCCAATGTTATTTACATGGCTGTTTCTATAAAGGGCAGCTTGCTATTGCTATATGCCTTAGCCTAAAAAATATTTCAGTTATTTTTCATGAAAAATGTTATATATTTTCAATGCTGTTTCTATAAAAGGCAGCTTGCTATTGCTGTATGCCTTAGCCTAAAAAACATTCAGTTATTTTAAATGAAAAACGTTATTTTCAATGCTGTTTCTATAAATGCAGCCTAAAAATAACGAGTACAGTTCATTATATTACATGCCATTTCTATCAAGATATAGCATCAACTGTACTTAATGATTTTTCGTTTGACTTAAATTGATTTCACTGCTGTTTCTGCATGAGACAGCTATTGCTATCACTATATGTTTTAGTTAATATAATGAGACTGTACAGTTTACTAACTCAAGATGTCATTTCTATAAGGATGATGTCTATAGTTACTACATTGTGATGTTTTTTGAAGTTCTGTTTCTATAAAGGGCAGCGATAGCTTTTGCTAAATGCTTAAGCTCTCGAAAAAAGAGACTGCTGCAGTTGTTAGAATGTCGTTTCTATAAGGATGACATCCACGTACTATATTATGTTTTTATTGCTGTTTCTATAAAGAACAGTGATTGCTTTTGCTATATGCTTAAGCCTTCAAAACATGAAATGTTTTAAAAACACTTTTAATGCTGTTTCTATAAAGGGCAGTGATAGCTTATTGCTATATGCTTTTAAGCTATCAAAACCAGACAGCAGTTTGTTAGAATGTCATTTCCGGCTATAAGGTGACATCTACTATCTTGCAATGTCTTTATTGCTGGTTCCATAGAGAGCAGCAATCGCTTCTGCTATATGCTCAAGCCTTCAAAATATACTGTACAGTTCTTTAATATATTTTAGATTCTTAAAAACCACTAAGATTCACTGCCCATGAAATGAGTCTAGTGTTCTTGTGTTTGGCCAGAATTTACAAGGCCAATATATCGCCCTCAACTCCCCGGCCCTTCCATATATGCACTGCATGGTAACAATATTTATTAATTATGTATATTGTTATTGTATATATGTATATATTAGACTGGTATATTGTTGACAAAATGCAGTTGAAAGTCCACGAATACAAAGCTGCATGCAAGGGTGTTAGGCAACTATAGAATGCCATTTAGAAAGTTCATTGCTTAGGAGTACAAGCCAATTTTCCTTCTATCAAAATGTGCAGCAATTTTTATATAACAAGTATAATTTATGGAGTATTTAAACTGCAAACCGATGATAAGAGTTGCTATGGTGGCTTGTAAGTGGGGTCTCTCACTAGGGTTTGCACATTTTAGTATTTGCAAGTGCATTAGGTCTCTTAGGGTTCAGATTAAGTCCAATATGAGCGAGTGAGATAAACTCGAGTAGCTTAGGGTAAGGCATCAAGCGTGATATCCACGCACTAGACCCCTCAGGATCGGACCCCAAACCTTTTTTCAACATTAAATATGAAATTATCCTACCTTACCACGTCGTTGAAGAATATTGGTGGATATCTTGGGCAAATGTGCAATACCATGAGGGATATCTTGGGCAAATGTGCAATACCATGGTGGATTTCGCAAATGTGCAATACTGATGTTATGATGATAAGCTGGTATGATATACTTATAAAGATAGAAGACGTCGCAAGGTTTGTGCAATTATAATATTATAGCGAAAAAAAATGGAGGAGTTACCTGCGGTTTCGGAACAAAGTAAGGCCGTGCGACTGAAGCGCGGAAACAATATGGCGGTCCAGTAACAATATGGCGGTCCGGTAACAATATGGAGGATTAAAATGTAACAATGATGCGCGCTTAAAACCTATGTTTTTAAAAATTGTGAGATAAACATCTATACAAAAACATACTTCTCTAACTACATGTAAAGTTCATAAAAGAAATTAAGCTTTCAGGCATAAGCTTAGAAATTTTATTTTGTTTGTTTATTTATGATTTTCTATAAATGGGGGCCCCAATTAAAATAGTTTATGATATACATAACAATTGATGTACTTAGCATAGCTTGTATTTTTGCAATGTAACATAGCGTATTTATATAATATAATAAATTATTTTTGTAAAATAGATTTTAGTAATAAGATTTTAGTAAAATTTTTGTAATGTAATTTAGTTTTTGTAATGTATTTAGTAATATTTATTAATAATATAATTTGTAATATAATTTTGTAATATGATATAATTTAATTAATAATTTTTAATAATATGAATTGTAGTAAAATTTTGTAATGTAATTGATTATTTTAGTAATATTTTTGTAATTTAAATTGTTCACTTTTGTAAATATACGTATGTAAAAGTAGGAAATATGTGATTTAACACAGGATTGCTAAAATGTGCATTTTTCCAATGTATTTGTAATATATTTTTGTAACATAACGTACATCTTCTGTAACATAAATATAATAAGCGAGAATTTTTATACTGTATATATAGAAAAATATCATGTAAGAAAAATAATATGGTATATATGTATAAATACTATTATATGATAATTTTGTAACAATATGTAATATGATTACTATACAGAATATGTAATTAATAAAGAATTACGAGAGCATTTTTGTAATATATATTTTAAATAAAATTTTGAAAATGTATGTGACTCAAATCTAAAAAAAAGTGTGTCCGTGATCGGGGCTGAAGAAGTACTGCATGCATGTGTTGCGGTTTCAAATTCCCAGGTTTTTCCCATCGTTCGCAATTTGTATCGACGCCTGAATGAGAACTGTAGCACTCACTCACTGCACTCAGTACTTTTCAATCTCTGGGTTAAATTCCTAGAACACTTTCCCATAATAAGGGTTCGTCAGGATTTGAGTCGCGTGTATAATCATCGATGTATAATCACTATAATGCATGTGTCAACTGGTTTGTCCACTTTCAGGAAAGATGGTCAGGAAACAATGTTTCGTAGTTTGTCCACCTTCAGGAAATACGGCTAGGAAACAATGTTTCCTGGTTTGCCCACCTTCAGGAAACATGGATAGGAAACCATGTTACCTGGTTTGTCCACCTTCACGAAACATGACTGGAAACAATGTTTCCTGGTTTGTCCACCTTCAGGAAACATGGCTAGGAAACAATGTTTCCTGGTTTGTCCACCTTCAGGAAACATGGCTAGGAAACGATGTTTCCTGGTTTATCCACCTTCGGGAAACAAGTCGAAGATTATCTCATCCACATCCAGTCAACTGTTTTACAAAGTATACCGATACGTATAAGCCTATGACGTCATTATGACGTCATTTTAATGGCAAATGGTGACGTCATTTTCTATCGTCATTGTGATGTGTAATGATGACGTCATATCTTGGCGTCTTTTGAAAGAAGTCATAATGATGACGTCATATTGTGGGGTCATACCATGACATCGTGTTGTTTTCTACTAATTATCTGCAAGGATTTTTTTTAAATTTTAGTTTGTTGTTGAGAAAATACCCAAAGAAATACAAAGAGATACTTTTTTAAGATAGAACAGTTTGTGTTTACTTTAGTGTAGTTTCCTTGAGCACTTCGCATTTCATCTGGACTCAATTCAATACCTGGCTAGTAATAAAATTCTAAAATGTTTGACATGTAGGTGTGTGCTTTTGTATATATAACATTATTTGTCAAAGTAAAGAGAAATTAATAAAGAAAAAATTAATATCATCTTAATTCAATAATAATTCTGGAAATGACTGGCGTCGCAAGCATTTATGGGGTTAGGAAAATATACGTATGGGGTGCCATCAGTGGGTGCCATACATTGTGATTAATTTTAATCTCTACACAAGACAATCTCGATTTCCAAACCCGCTCTCTTGGGATTTTGCCATTTCAGTATTTGAGATGAGCAGTGTCTCTGGGACAGCCTTGTATCCAAACTGCGCGAATTACTGGTGAACAACTGATTATAGTGTTCGTTCTGCTGAGAACTTGCAAAAGCAAAGACGTTCTCAGCAATTCAATGTTTCGATGTACAAAACGATTATCTTTCAAACAAATTTACTCCAGCTAAAACGTCGACAAGTTGTGTTCGCACTGCTTGTCCCAAGTTGTCAACAAGTTTTGGAACAAGCTGTTAACAACTTGTAACAACCTTGTTGATATTATCAGACTTGTCGCAAGGTTGTTCCAACAAGTTCAATACAGTCATGCATGATATAACAATATTGTTACAACCTTGTGTCGTCAACCTTGTAACATTCTTGTTGGCCCTTGTTATATCATGACTCTATCAGACTTGTTAGAACAATTAACCTTGTAACAAGTCTGATAATGCCATCAAGCTTGTTACAAGTTGTTAACAGCTTGTTCCAAACTTGTTACAACAACTGGGAACAAGCAGTGCGAACACAACTTGTCGACAGCTTCTGAACATATTTGTAACAACTTGTTGTGGACCTGTAACAACTTGCGCGTTTTTACGTGTGTACAGAGTGATCTCTGGATCTGTCCTATGGATGAGTGTTGAAGCAATCCTGCAATCTCTGGATCTGTCCTATGGATGAGTGTTGAAGCTACCTGTTGAAGCAATTAATGTCACATCTGTAGCAACTTTCAAAACATTCTAAGACAATTATCATAGTTATTATTACAGTTTATAATTTTTGAACTAAATACTTTGTAAATATCTATTCTACACCACGGCTCCAAGCCCATGGAAGAGCACATATTGTGAATGAAATTCGTGTTTAAATAAAGTTTAATAACAATAATATAAAAGAGGACATGATGTATGAAAATTTCTTGATCGAAGATATTGAGCGTGGGAATTGACGCCTCGGTTCGCAGATGATGCTGTTTTGGCAGCTTGGCGCGGCGAGACATGTTCAAGGAGCTTAGCCTGAGTTTAGGTGTTGGATTAAGGGGAATTCTTGTTTGGATTAGGGATTGTGTTAAGAGTTGGATATATCCACTGATATACAGTGGATATATCAAAGCCAGGATTTAGGGTTAGGCTTCGTTCACACTACTCCGGATAGTTTTCCATAGCGGCGCGAAAAAGCACCTATCCGATACGGAATGTACAACATTCAGAAGCTGAGCGAAAATACATCTCTCCGTTGCAATAATTCCTCTGAAAATAGCGTTCCTAAAAGGTACGGATAGATATTTTTTCACGTCGCTACGGAAATCTCTCCGTTACAGTATAAACATAATCTTAGTTAGGATTAAATTGGTGTTATAATTAAATCGGAAATTATAATTTAACGCCAAAACAATTGTAATTAAAAATTGTAATTTTACAGAAAAAACCCCAAACAAAGCGCGTTTGAAAGACGTCCTGAGTTTCCGAGCACCGAGCAAAAATAAACCAATCACGAAGCTGGAAGAGCATCACGTGACCGTAGATTAAATTTCAACATGGCAGCCAATTACTGCATGAATGAGCGATTCATTGTCAGAAAATCATACGTAACTTTAATACTTTAATAGAAAGCCGCAAATATGTGACGATATGGGAAGGAAGCATATCTTAGCATTGGATTTCATGTATTCGCGATGGTTTTTCGTGTCGAATTTGCAAAATCTTGGCGAAGGAAGAAGGGATGTTTACGGTTTTTAGTTTGGGTAATTTTGATATCTGTGGTAACGAAAGGGACTCGTGTCCCACTCGGTTGCGTGGTGAATCAGACAGGGGAAGTACGCTACGATTATAAGTCGTCTGTTGTTGCAAATGGTAGGTGATTGATGGTTGCTTCTTTATTTATATTTATATTTATATATCAAGCAATGTATCAACTAGTACTTTTATACCTTGCTTCAGTTTATACTTTTGCAATCAGCTTGGTAGCAATTGCTGACTTTGACAATTTTTGCTTACGTGTACTTTCATTATAGCTTATTTAATATTTGAAAATCTCTGACCAAATTTTTTGGTGATGAATTGTTAGTTTTGGAACTTTGAGCATTTTATAAATAGACAATTTCATGGTTCGTTGATGGTCTAGGGAAACAGACAAAAAACATTCTGTTCTCACAGAACTAACATTTCCACTCTGTCTTTAACTCTCACTGCTACAAATTACAATAACAACAGTAGACTCAACAGTCAACAGCTAAACAATTCATAGTCCTCAATGAGAAAAGGCCGGTGGTAAACTAATAGTATACAAAAGCTATCAGGAGCCCGTCAAAGGTGGAAACTCGTCAAGGGGAGAGCACTGGTGCTTAATGGGTTAATATCGGCAATTGGTTACAAGGCAATTGGTTGCATTGCGGTACAATAGGTTAATTATTAAAAATTCTGATCATATTTAAATATTTGATGTTTTTCTAGAATACATTGTACTGTTTGAAGGTTATTATCCAGAACCTAAACGAGATGTCTTTGTTAGTGAAGCATTGAGTGGCAGCCATGTTCCATCATGGGAAGTTATTCCCAGAAATAATCCAGCTCGTCAGTTTCCCAGTGACTTCTCGTTAATTCGGGTAATGATCTAAATTATTGGATTTAACTTATCCCATCACTACTGTGATATATTTAATGCTTGACGTGCATGACACTAAGATACCAATAATAACATTATGACAAATTCCATATTTTTAAATATATTGAGATCAGTGGATGACACTATCCAGTAGCGTGAGGCGGTTTCTACAAAAAACCGAAAACCGACCAAAAAAACTGAGTGAACCGATTTTTTAAAAAAATATGTTTGAAAATCGAAACTATCACACAAGATATTTCTGTCGTTCCAATTGAAGTGTTCCTCAAATATTGATTCAATACATTACCTCAGGCTAACCAATTCATTTCATCAAGTTCCTCGAGATATTCATACACTTCCTGTGAAAGAGCCAATTCCAAGTATTTGATCATTTCTGGTCACTTCCTTT